GATTCACTTAATTCTTAACTAAATCATAATACTACGAATTTATCTTTACGTATGCGCAAGCGGGTAACTGGAAAACAACATCAGTTTATTGTTACTTATCAATAGAGATGGGCACTGGGAAAAAACCCAAAGGGAAAAAACCCAGGTTTTTTCCCATTTGGGAAAAAACCCGGTTTTTATGTGGGAAAAAACCCAATAGGCGGGTATTTTCATTTATAATGATCTTATTCTATTTTTATTTTAAGAACTAAATAAATAGGTACTTTTTGATGCGCATATACCTACATTCACTCAAAAAAGTATCGGGAATGGATGATTTATTTATGGTTCCAAATTCAAATTTTTGTTTTTATGTAGTTGTTAGATTGGCACAACTGTTTTCCATTTTGGCGCGGATTTTGAGTTGCATCTGTTATTTATATTAAATACAGCGCTGGTTTCAGAAATATCATATATAATGTATATTGTGAATTTCATAATGGACACAAATCAGTCAATCAAAGAGTTTGTCTTAAATTTTGCATCGCCAATGGAATTTCGTGTTCGGAGTCACTGAAAATGTTACAGAAAGCTTACGGTGAATCGACTTTATCAAAAACTCGTGCTTATGAGTGGTTCAAAGCGTTCAAAAGCGGTCGAGATGTGATGGAAGATTTGCCTCGCTCTGGTCTGCAACTGTAGTTAACATCGCAAAAGTGAAGGAAATAGTGACTGAAAATCCCCATTCAACTCTGAGAGAGATAGCCGCCGAACTTTCTGTATCTCACGAGTCGATCCGTACCATTTTAACTAATCTATACTATACATTAAAGGGTATGAAACATGTTGCTGCTCGACTAGTTCCAAAAGATCTAAATTTTCTCCAAAATCTCAATCGCATGAAAGTCGCTGAGGATATGCTAGAACGAGTCAGTTTGGACCCAACATTCATGAAACGCATTGTTACTGGTGACGAGACGTGGGTTTATGAGTTTGGCATGCAAACTAGTCAACAAGCTTCGGAGTGGCGCCTTCCAACTGAACCGAAACCGAAAAAACCACGCCAAAGTCGATCAAAAGTCAAAGTCATGTTGACTGTTTTCTTTGACTATCGCGCTGTTGTGCACTCTGAATTCTTACCGGAAGGTCTAACGGTAAATAAAGAATATTATTTGAGCTTTATGCGGCGTTGAAGAGAGCAAATTCTACGAAAAAGGCCAGATTTGTGGAAAGAAAATTCTTGGATTTTGCACCACGAGAAAGCGCCTTCGCACAAGGCTATCATTGGTGGCATCAAGGTGAACGAATTTTTGAACACTCAACAAATACCATCCAGCAACCTCCATATTCACCAGATATGGCTCCTGCTGACCTTTTTCTTTTTCCTAAACTCAAATTACCACTTCGTGGCACCCGTTTTCAATCGATAGAAGACGTAAAGGAGAATTCGCGGCGAGAACTAAACTCAATTCTGGAAGCAGCGTTTAAAAAATGTTTTGTTGAATAGATTATTCGTTGGCGCAAGTGTATCGTCTCTAAAGGAGCATACTTTAATTCGTTGAGTACCTTCATTTCAGACAATTAAAGAACAATAGGTTGCGGTCACCGGTGACAGTTTAAACTGTCAAACATCGACCGCTCGGTGTTTGACAGTTTAAAGGTGATAAAATAAATTTGGATGAATAACAAACATTTTTGTAATATTGATCTTTTCCCGGTACTTTCTTGACAGAGTAGTACTTAGCACCAGCGTGTATAAGTCACTAGCTGTTGTCTGTTATTTGAAACGTTAAAATGTGTAGTCTATTTCAAGGACTTAAACATAACCAGCATATTTATTATAACACCATAAAGACGTCTTCTTGTTTTATAATAAGTTTTTACTGCGCTCTGTGATGGAATGTTAAGAGCAGAAAAAATACCTATTAAACTTTAAAGAATGTTTGACTAAAATATTAAATAATATAATTAAAACAACGAGAGATTCTGAAACAACGAGAACTCTTACTAACAATCATTTATTATACTTTACAAAAGTTACAAAACTGTAAATTTACCGGTAAATTTCGTTCGTAAAAAAAGTAGGTATCAAAGTCCGTAAGAGAATCCACCAAACAAAATCCAAGTCGTCAATTAAACCAACAAATTAACACGAGTGCGCACAGTATGAAGCCGAAACAACGTGTGAGATAGATAGATCACCAACGCGCTTGCCCCTCTACCTGCTTCCCTGCCCCTCTACCCGCTCACGTATTTTCGGGTTACCTGTCGCTAAGAGCGGAGGATCACACACAAACAGACAGGATTTTTGTTTAATTTCATTTTCTTTCATTTGATAGTAAGTCTCTAAGGATATTAAGAACGTTATTACTGCAATATGAACATAAACAAAGTTAGATTAGCTCTAAGTTGTAGTAATAGTTCTTAAATAGTACGTACTATAAGATATGTACATAATCTACACATTACTTATTTGTTACATGTGTTAAATATGAAAAAACCCGAATATTTTCCCATTCGGGAATTTTCCCCGGGTTTTTTCCCGGTTTTTCCCATATTCGGGTTTTTTCCGGGTAAAATCCCATCTCTACTTATCAATTCTCCTTGTTAATTTAAATTATGATGCATATTTTTAAAACGTTTATAAACAAAAGATAGTGAGTTTCCGATGAATATTGGGATCATTGTCACATCATCATTAATAAACTCCCGAAGGGGTAGGCAGAGGTGCATAATCTCACTTCTTATTATATAACATCATAGCATAACATCACGCCTTTTATTCCCGAGGGGGTAGGCAGAGGCGCACACAGAAGTAACACCCACTTTTCACTATTTATGTGATGAGTCCCATGTAATAGGGGGTGAGCCAATTACCATATACCGGGCACAATTCCAGACTCCGTGCTACTACTGAGATTTTTTTTAAAACCCAGTAATACTATGCCCGACCCGGGAATCGAACCCGAGACCCCTAGAAAAAAAAAGTACCTAGTGAACACAATAGGGTAGATGACTTATTTTTATTTCAATGTCCGTATGGTAGATTATTTAAAACATTAGACATATATTTTCTATTTCCTTACGGAAACGAACCGAAAATACATTATAAAATATCACATGACGTCACTTTTGAGTACGATTTATACTCTAAAATGACGTAGCTACCTCCCACTTCTAAACTTTGATTCATTTTACTAAGTATTATTTTATTATACGACACAATAAAAAATACGTGTCTAATATTTTTCATTACCTACCTAACTGACGGACTAATTATAATTCGATTTCAATTTTTTTACCCTGTCATCCCTATTATGACCAGAATTACCTATACCATGGCTCCCGGAAGCAGGAGTTGGAACGTGATGGTTTTTAGTCAGTAAGAATCTGACACGCCCTCTTCGTCGGACCCGGGACGGGAGGATTCGCTTTATTCGATAATTTTTCCCCCACAAAAAAAAGAAGTACCCACAGATTATAATCTAATACCCACTTTTGATCAGTTATGTTATATAGGAACCAGGTACAATTCCAAACTTCGTGTCACAACTGAGAATTTTCTAAAACTGCAAAATAAAAATAATTCTTTGTCCAGTTCGACAGAAAGAAGGCAGTCTTTACACATATTTAAAATACATAGTATAAATATTTTTAGCGATTTCATGATTCCTTTTTTAAGACACAAATTATGACTTCAGAGGGTGTCTAGATTTGTGTTTTATGATTGACTAGCTTTTACCCGCGGCTTCGCTCGCGTCACAAAAGGATAAAAAATAGCTTATATGACAATACCAATACACACAGCGCCATCTATACCAATAACTTCGTTTTCTCTCGAGAATATCAAATTTTTCCGGGATAAAAGTACCCTATTATTTAATCCAGACTTCTAACTGTACATCTGCAAAAATTCAAAGCAATCGGTTTAGTAGTTACGGCGTGAAAGCGGAACAAGCAAACAAACTCACTTTCCGATTTATAATATTATATTAGTATTATGTTTTCGGCTTACTCACGTAGTAATTCGACGAGGAACTCGACTAGTTTCAAGCAAGTATGTCTCAGGAAAGTTACAATACAAATATTAGTAAGGATGTTTCATTCTCTAATTGCTTGGGATTAGTGACTGATACAGAGCGAAGAAGTTTCATCATCATCAACAGCCTATAAGTGGCTACAGCTGACCAAAGGCCACCTCTCACACGGAGAGAAGCTTATTTATCTCGTCAAGTACCGTCATTATAGACACAATTATAGAACAATAGGTTGCGGTCACCGGTGACCGCTTGGTGTTAGACAGTTTAATGGACAAAATTAATAGCCAACCTACCGAGATATCTAAATCTGGGAGATCTAGATTTGGAACAGAATTTCTAATGCCAAAAATCGGCCTCAATTTACAGATTGTAGATCGGTACCAAATTGATTGTATGAGTTATTTAGTTTCAACGTAATAACAAATACCAAAATTGATGTCGAAGTCCGGGTAGGCACTGCAAACTTTAAGCCAAGATCGCCGGAATACCCCCTACATCGCTCTGAACAAACCGGTAACTTCGTAATAAACTCTTATAATATCACTATAAGTATAACCCTAAATACTAAATAATCGGAGTCACGGAGAACCTAACGGGTTGCCGGGGCCCGGCTCGAAGTGCAGGAGTAGGAACGGGGTGGTTTTTAGTCAGTAAGAGTCTGACACTCTCTCCCGCCTCACCCAGGCGGGAGAAGTCATTCGATGATTTTCCCCCCTTAAAAAAAACTAAACACTATGAAATTATGTTCCTAAAAAAATCTTGGTCCGTAGGTACAGGTCACTCCAAGAATCTACGTGAAGTCTTTAGCAATTCCAGTTAAGCTCACAAGTTCGTCATCATTGCTAAAAACTGATTTACTATTCTCAGCCTTTTCGCTATTACAATAGAGGTGAAAATTCCCTGTTTATTTTGCACTACGCGATGACCGTGCAAGATTGTAGGAGTCTAAAATGTATGGACGATTCGAATTACGAACACAGTCGGCCGGACCACGGAGTGAAGCGGTCGTGTAGTGACGGTGTATAATGAAACTGTGATATTCTTAATTCGAAAATTTAAATTAATAATTTAGTAATAAAAAATAAAAATGCATTTAATATTCGTGGCCATTTTGGGTTTCAGTGCCTGCGTTGTAAATGGACGTAAGTGGACTTTTTGCTAGTTATTTTATATTTTAAGATGTTTGTTTTAAGGTTTTCGTTGAGGAAAAATCGTTATTATGTTAATGTTTAGATGTTACGTTATTGTATCATTCTAAATAATGTACCGGTTTTTAAGTTTAAAGCGTCTACCTACAAAAATGATTTTGAAAAGTACCTTATTAATTTAATAACGGTAAGTACAATATTTAACCGAAATAAAATGTGTTAGGAATGGAGTTCGGTTATTATAATAATATTTTGAATAGTGCAATTGAATGAGTATGATAAATAGTGTTAAACTTGTGAAATTGATAAAAATAAAAAATAACATTAACTTTTGATTATTACAACTATAAAACGATATTTATGCTACAAACGTACAAAAATAGATTAAAAACGAATATAGGAAAGCATATTTCTTATTGGAAACAAAATAAAAAGTAACAGCTATTATTATACCCTATTAGAATAAGAATAAAAGCGAAAATTCGATATCACTATCGACTATTTATATTTTTTTTTTATTTGGATTGGGTGGGGTACAGGACCCTCGATACTTAGAAGTATATTATGCTAGTACCTTATCTTAAGAGACACTTTTAGCTAGGAAGGAAGAAATTATTTAGTACCTACAGTTCTTTTAAAAAATCGTCCTCCAGTTTTTGCTAATCCTATATGAATATCTATAATAGTCTTCAAAAACCTTCAATTGCATATCAAAAAGTGTGTTATAAAATAATGCTTAAAATATTAGTCCATTATTCCCAATTAAGTCAAAATCAACACTCAGAATTAGGTAACTAATGTCGGAATACTGAAACGTTACTCAATTTCAAGTTGTGCTTAAATATCGTGCCATCTCTGTCATTTTATAAAGCATTAGTGGTGACAGAACTATACTTAAACTGTCAAACACCAAGCGGTCACCGGTGACCGCAACCTATTGTTCTATAATTGTGTCTACAAAACCGGTACTCGACGAGTTAAAATTGAGTAACGTTTCAGTATTCCGACATCGGACTTTTCCAGTCAATTGTTAAAATTATCCGATGAGTGTGACTCAATTGTATTTCGGATAAACCCTCTTTTAACTCGTCGAGTACCGGTTTTGTAGACACAATTATAGAACAATAGGTTGCGGTCACCGGTGACCGCTTGGTGTTTGACAGTTTAATAAAAAAAAACTAAAATTCGTTATTTAATATCCAAAGATAAAAATGACGTAACTGCCAGCAGCATTGTCCAAACAAATTTCGCAGAGGTCACGTATTAAAGTGCGTTATTTAAATAAAAAATCCCACAACATACAACTATACAAGCGAATGGCGAATAATACACACATACAATCGATTAGCTACAAGAGTACAAGAATCGGTATTATTCGAACATTTTACAAATCAAGTGAACATAATAAGTACATGCTGATTAAATTCATATTTGTTTTACATATATTGAGTATGATAATGTATTCGTGATAAGAGTATGAACGAAAGAAGAATAGGGTAGTTTTCTAAATTTTATTTTAATGTCCGTCTGGTACATTAATTTAAAAGATTAGATACGTATTTTTCCTTTTCTCACAAAATTAAATACTTTCGACGATATATTAATCCGAAATATCGTGTGACGTCACAGCGTGTCATATTTTGTAGCACGTTATGACGTAACGACCTCCCACTCCTAAACTTAGCGCCATTTTATCTAAGCATTGCAACTTAATACGAGAAAATAAAAAAATACGTGTCTAATATTTTTTCATTATCTAACTGACGGACTAATTAGATTTTTAATTTTGATACCCTGGAAACTACCCAATTATAATAAAACCGGGATATGTAAACCAAAATATATTTCTACCCACAATTAGGTATCACGTTTTTTAATTATAGAATAAATAGGCACTTAATTCGTTTTTTAAATTGTTTGTCGGTTTTTATTGTTGGGTTTTTCTTATTTTATTACTTAAATATTTAACTGTATTTGATCTTATTATTGTACCTAATGTTAGTTATATGTACTTAGATAAATATTTTAATTGTGTATTTAGTGAAATGTAAACGTTTTGGTAGATACCTATAATACTGTTAGTCTATATTGTTGTTAAATAAAAATAAATAATCAAAAACTCTTCACTACAATCAATTTGATGATAACTGCATCAAAATTTGATTAGTACTTTTTGAGATTAAGTGAGATTCGGTAGAGATTTTTTTTTAATTATTTGAAAAATGTGGGTGGTAGGTAAACACTAGGAAAAGTTTAAAATTATAGTTAGTACACAGATCTCATAGAAAACATACTGAACATTTTCTAACCAGCTACCGACTCATTGTTTGATTTCAGTGAAGCTATATACAGTGCAATGAGCATATAGTTTTTGTAGTACACAATGCTTTGTTGTTACTGTCTACCCCCATTGAACAACCACATATAAACTTTATATATCTCTTCTTCTTTAAAAAAAACGTTGCCCCACACTAGGATTATCTCCTGTGCCGTGGGTGCGTTTACAAACATACAAGTTCACATACACATGACACCCAGGCCCGAAACAACAATTTGTGGAGCGCACAAAGTGTTGTTCCGTGCGGGAATCGAACCCGCGACACGATGCACGGCAGCCGGTTGCCTAGCCACTGCACCAACCGTGCAGTCGCCATCTTATAAACGATTAATTACTATATTAACTTCACACTAATATTAAACAAGTGAAAGTTTATTTCTCTGGATGTTTGTCCGTCAATCACGCTGAATCTACTGAACGGATTTTGATGAAATATGGTATACAGGCAGGGTATGGGCTGACTTAGGTGATAGAGTTTTTATTCCAATCAAATACTGCAATGGGATAAAACAGGAATCATATTCGACACTATAATATAACTTGTAAATTCAAGCGACGTAATGTCATTCATTACCGAAAAGGTAAAAAGTAACTAATGTTGTAGGTTACAATTGTGACCTTCCTGTATAAATTCGTGATCCATCGTAGACAGCATGTCGTGGAGAACCTAACGGGTAACCGGGGCTCCGGCTCGACGTGCAGGAGAAGGAACGGGGTGGTTTTTAGTCAGTAAGAGTCTGACACTCCCTGCCGCCTCACCCAGGCGGGAGAAGTCAATCGATGATTTTCCCCCCTTAAAAAAAAATAATCGTAGACAGCATCATCGATTACCACCAGGCGAGTAGCCAAATACTGATGTGTTTCTAATATAAAAATAATTCTTTTACACACTACGTTTAAAGAAACCGATTTCAACCGCCATTTTTTGAGGTCGGTTAATTAATCCTTCGAGTACCGTCATTATAGACACAACTAGCTACTTCCGCGCGGTTTCATACGCTCTGCTCAGCTCCTATTGGTCGTAGCATGATGTTTTATAGCCTATAGCCATCCTCGATAAATGCACTATCCAACACAAAAAGAATTATTCAAATCAGACTTGTAGTTACGGAGATTAGCGCGTTCAAACAAACAAACAAACTCTTCCGCTTTATATAATAGTATAAGATTAAAAGAACAATAGGTTGCGGTCACCGGTGTCCTTGTGGTGTTTGACAGTTTAATACCTATACTAAAACCTTCTCTTAAGTAACGCTTTTCTAAAAACCGCGTCAGTATCGGTACAGCTAATCACAAGATAACCGCGCACAAACATATACATACATACATACAGGTCAAACAGAGCACCTCATTTTTTTGAAGTCTGTAAAAAATTTAAGAAATCTAATCCTTATCCTTACTAATACTATAAATTGGAAAGTAAGTTGTTCCGCTTTCACGCCGTAACTACTAGACCGATTACTTTGAATTTTTGCAGACGTAAAGTTAGAAGTCCGGATTAAATAATAGGGTACTTTTTATCCCGGAAGAATTGATATTCTCGAAGGAAAACAAAAGTATTGGTATAGATGGCGCTGTGTGTATTGGTATATGTCACATAGGCTACTTTTTATCCTTTTGTGACGCGAGCGACGCTGCGGGTAAAAGCTAACAAAAATCCGAACATAGTACATCCTACTCTTTATGAAGTCGGTGAAAAGGGATAAGCAAGTATACCGAAGATTAACTTACATACGAATGCAGATTTAACAGGAAAAACTATCGGTATCTGTTTAGCAATTTAAAATTAATATAATTGTTTATATTAAACTGTCAAACACCAAGCGGTCACCGGTGACCGCAACCTATTGTTCTATAATTGTGTCTACAAAACCGGTACTCGACGAGTTAATAGGGTAATTAAAGATTGATATGTAAATATTATGAGGGTATGACCTCGATAAATAAGATACGTTGTAAGATAATTCATAGATGAGTATTAGAATGTTAGAATTATTGTGTTAAGACGTTCTGCTATAAATAAGAGACTGAATTATTGTATAATTAGAAAAAAAAAACATATAAGTACCTTGGTGTATTTGTGTGAAACGATTTTACGTCGAAACTGCTAAACATAATTTGATAAACGGTACAGGAATAGACGGTAACACTAGGTAACACAACATTCTAAGAAAAAAAAAATTACAAAATAATAATTGACATTTTGTTATAATAAGGTAGTTATATATTTATTTTTCAAATAAAATTTTAATTAATTGAACTTCGAACGTTTATGAATGTTTCGAATTAGTTTGACATTAATTAAGAATAATATCTTCTTAGTCACCTTCATTTATTCTTACTAGATAAAGCAGTCAATCAACAGATTATGAAAAACCAGTCGTAGCTAAAGCAAATTAATAATGTTATTGTATCAAAATAAAACATCTTGTAAAAAATTTTCTTTTTTTTTTTTGTTAAATTTTGCACTAGGATTTTTTCCTGTGTCGTGGGTGCATTTACAAACATACAAGTTCACATACACATGACGCCCAGACCCGGAATAACAATCTGTGGATCACACAAAGAGTTGCTCTGAATCAAACCCGCGACATGTTGCCCAGCCTCCGCACCAACCAAGCCGTCAATAGAGACAATAGGTGTGCTGCGATTATTT